AAGGATAAGTAGGTTCGTCCGTGAGTTATAGCTAGCTATAGCAACAGTTCGTATCACAGACAAGCAGAGCCAAGGTCAGATTGTTATTTCCTGTCAGCGGAATTTGAGGCGCAGCGATGAAGTTGGAAGTTTTATATTCTGCCCGCAGTAATTATAAACTAAAAGTAAATTGTAGATCAAAAAGCAATTAAATGTTGGGATATCAACAGCTTGTGAGGAACTTCGTTGCCACCTTCCTACCAACAAATTATGGCTTCGGTCAGCGCTCGCACTTTCTTGCCTTGAATATGAACGACGCTAAATAAACTCAAACGTTCATGAATGCGCATATTGTTGGCATGTTTATTGAAAAGCCTCTAGCTGAAAACATCCAGGCAACGACGTTCATGATGATGCAATAAGTAAGCTCGACTGGTTTTCAGCTTTGTAACTGTATGACTCGAAAGCAAACAATGCGATACAGATCGCGGCCCGGGTGGAGCACACCCATAAGCAGGCTCGTACATCCTTCATGGGTAGGCAGGGTTGCGCCCTTCATGATAACAACAGTAGCTTTCTAGCTGAAACCGGTCTGAGATGGGCAAAGCAACATTTGTTGCTATAGGTACGGCAAGTCAAAATCATGGTACATACCGGTCCAAGGCTGAAAAAAACGTCTGTAAGCTTCCACCGTGGCCTCGCAAGGTCAAAGGCAAAAGTCTTGCCTACGAATACAGCGAGTTGTTTCAACATTCAGGGCGGTGCGCCCTAATGGAAACGATCTGTCTGAAATGGTGTGTGGGTGTCACGCACCATCGGAACTTAGCCCCGGAGTCTTAGTGCTTTCGATACGGTAATGAGTAGCAGAGAACTGCTCGTGGTATAAACAAATGCACGGGGTCTCAGAGACCATTTTGACGAGTCAAAAATAATGCACGCTGTCAGACGATCACAAAAGGTTGCGACATTTTCGCCCATGCTCTGAGAGAAGGAAGGAAATCGTCCAATCTGGATGATACTAACGCATGGTGCTCTTTAAAAGTACCAGATGACCGTAGGGATATACCGTAAGGTCTGGGGCCTTTGACACCCGGAGACGTTCTTCGCAACAGACATTGACAATACCACTTGATCCCGGGTATGTCGTGTCACAAAGAACAAGTCGTGGATCGATTGGCGCGACAAAGTCAGCCGCCTCGCACATTTTGACTTACGTATTTCATCTTTCTATCTCTCCAGCCGCTAGGTCAACCAAAGGGTCATCAACGCACTAAGATGTCAGACAATTTTATAGGCGTTATCATAGATGGCGAGACCGCCTTGAGATGGTTGTGTGATCAACACCTCTGCGAGCGGAAATTAAATTGCTGTTCACACCAAATGCTAAGCTAATGTACTTTCAAAATTGCGTTAAACAGCGCGCAAAAGGTTTATAAATCGTTGAAAAGTCTACACCGAGGTAGTTGTGGCGAGCCACCGCATCTAAAACTAGTAAGAGTGGCCATGTACAGCTTCCGACGCGATTTGCGTTGTTCCGCACTGTTCTGTGGACATGAAGGCCCCACAACAGATTTCTCAGACGATGCCTGGTAAAGAGCTAGCTGCGTGGACTTCCCGTGTCAGTATCGAGACGCAACATTATGAAGGTAACGATGATTTGCATAGGGCCGAGAGCAGTGAGATTTTACCCAAGGCGGTGCGGCGAGATGCCATCTCCAGCTCACGGATGATCAAAAAGAAAAGGTGAGTAACTACTCACTCGGTCAAGGTCGCGAAAGCTACTGTATCTTCAACGACGTGACGAATCATTGAACAATGGCATGTGTCATCCAATTGTACTGTGAGAATTTT